CGAAGTTCGCATATCTCCTTTTATTCATTTTTTTGAACGAAAAAAAAAAACACACACACACACACGACAATCCTGAGATATTGGCGGTTTAACCAGCCACCTCTGACCTCGACATAATAAATTTGGAATCCAGAACCTGACAAGATCAAAGAGTTACGAGTTCCTCTTACCAATCTTGTAATAAATTATCAACAACACTCAACATTGAAACTAATATAACTTTCTGGGATCGTGTGTGTGTTAGCTGCCTTCTTGTCATTGGCAACCTGGGGATCCGAGCTATGCCCCAACAGACAGGATGAAGAAATCCACCCCGGGGCAGCGCCAATAAAACCGAAACCGGACACTCTTACCTCACCGAAGGACAATCTTCGGGCGCCAGCTCGTCGGATCTATCCATCCTCATTTTCCCGTTGGTTGTTTAACATGACTACGCTACTTCACTGTTATTGGCCAAATCTTGGTAAACATCAAGCCAACAACCGTTTGGCCAATATTCTGGAATAATCATTTTAAAAAAATAATTGATATTTATTCTGATAGATGGCGCAAGTTCAGTTGCACGCTCAGGAGATGCCTTTTTCTTAATAGAACCACCTGATACCACTGCAATTTCACTTTTGTACTTTTTTCCCCCATATCCAAAATTGTTTACCAATCAATTTCTACCTCACCGCGGGGTCTGAATGAAGTGCTAAAAAAATACCAACCTGAGAGGACGATGGCTCACGGCCACAACACAAATTATATAATAAACTATTTGACCATGATTTTCTCCATACTTTGAATTAAACATTGTTCTATTACTAAGATGGATAACTATTAGAAGGCCTGGTACATCAGTGGTGAACCCTCCCAGCGGTTTCGCCAGTTTTGTTAGACGACAGTAGCTACAGTTTCTCCATCTTTATTGTCGGATAAATCCTTCATTTTTTCTCCAATCAAAATGTGTTGGCCGCGCAGATACGTCCTCCACCTGAGGCAACATCCCCCCAATCGATGCAATCAATGGACCAAATTTAGTTTCTCCGCCGCGCAGACAAAACGGAAGGCTGAGATCTACTCGGGTTTGGAACAAACCATCGCACGGCGGTGGGGAAAGTATGTTTCACGTAAAGCATTTATACGTGTGTTGTTCTTACACTTCTCGTCAAATTGCGCGCGCTTCGCTCTAGGTTTACATTATTAAAATACCTTTTTTTTTTAAATTTCAATCGGGTTTAGAACCACCTATAACGCACGTGGTGTCTATTCCATAGTCAAGAAAGAAAGAATTCCTCCCCACCAGCTTCTTCCAAAGAACAAAGAGCAGGAAGCAAATATTTGAGTTTTTTACGGGGCTCACATGTAAGTTGATCGTGTGCCGAGCAAATACAACTGGTTTAAATCAAACTGGTCACACCGCGGCATTATTTATTGGGGCTGCGACCCCGGCAAGGAGGATGTCGACAGGCTATGTCAAAGTCCCCGAAGACACGCGAAGGAAGACCTCTTAAAAGATTACAGCTATGCAAATTTTAATAAGAGTCGGGAGAGTAAATATTGGCTGGATTTCGCTGTGTCAATAAACTGACATTCCGAATTGCAAAATGGCTGAGTGAACAGAGTGTGGAGCAATACTACTGGATAAGTCGTCCACGTTGGGATACAAGGATACAAGGTGACGGCAATTGAACACTTCGGGAATTATTTTTGGACATTTATCCTTTGAAAATGAAGAAGTTGGGAATATTTCCCGGACAAGGGCAAACACCCCCAGCACCAAACTTAACAACCTAACCTTGACCCAATAAACTACGGCGGCGATATCATTTACGTCACACTCCCTCCTGTTACGTCACCTGACAGCCATAGAAACCAAGGCTCACAATAAATGGTGAGAAAACTCCATAGAGAATAATTCCTCCATACACTCGTCCCTTGATGCAGTTTCAGAGATGGCATTCAACCCGATGGCAACCCGGGGTTCAGTCATTCGGAGGGATGTTTACATAAGGCACATGGTGGATCCAACCTATCATCCCAGATTTACATGATAATCATGGCAGGTAGGATGCGATTATATTCACACTACAAGTACATCCCAACTTATACAAGATACGTGAAGTTCCGTTTGATCACGGATTTCCATCCGTTTGAGGTAAATAATTTGTTATTTCTTAAAACCAAAGCCACGTAGAATCGCGATCTAGACTTTAGCTGCCGTGTACTTACATCCCGAGATGGAAGGCCGAGGCATAGGTCGAGACCCACGCTATATTAAACTACTACTACCCTGGTCGGCACAGTTGTAACCAACCATACCAAGTGGGACCCTGAGTAATCCCGTTTTTACAGTTATTTACAAAAGCTGTCAGACAATAGAAATATTCCTACAAGAAATGCTCAATTTGGATTGTTAAGAGAGGAGGAAATTACAACCACTAAACTAACCCAGTACCAGCCATTATAACAGGTTTAGACATATGGAGGAACCAAAGCAATAAACATCAAATACCTAAAACACCACCAGGCTGGAAATACCCAAAAAAAGAGAAATCCAAGGCTTGGGGGCGGAGGATTAAATGAAATTGGGGCATTCCGGGTATAAAGCGAGATAAGAGGAAACCCCTTCCACATCATCTCTATATACCTGTCGTAAGGCCTCCGTGGGGAATACGGGGGCATTCCTGACTTCCTTACATTCTTCTTAACTACTTCAAGGACACTCCGAATCAACGGGCCAGAGTAGCACGGAAGCGGTAATCACCAACATTGCCTAACTATTAGTGTGCGAAATATCGTGGTCTGACAGAATTTGTTCCTACAAAACCCGACCAAACAGCCCCGTTAGACTACAAAGGAGGCTGCAGCGATGTCCCAACAATCCTGTTTGGACACAATCAAGGATAGCTCGGGGTACTTGAGTTATTAATCTTTTGATAATTATTTTGCCTAAAGCTATTAAGTTATGCTAAGACTTTCAATTCCAAAACGACTTGGTGGAAGTAAGACCTCGTAGAACTGACTTTTTTTTACAATCTCAAACGAAACGCTTCTCCCTCACCACAAACAAAATCTATAGGTTTCCATAGTTTTAACCGCCATTTTATTTGATCTTGTTAGATAGCTTTCTACATGACGTTTTAGTGGTGTTCACGAGAGAAGTGAATGGCCGGTAACATTATGCCACGAATGTTGTTTAAGAAAAATACATCTGATCGTGTGCAACAAAGTTAACGATGTCATCTATCGGAGTAAATATAAACCAATTCTTGATTGTGGTTTTAACATTTCAGAATAATGGTCAAATGCTCTTTCTTGATTAATAATTTTTAAAAAACTGCCCGCTTTTTTTTTTTTTTTCAGAATGCTGTCACAGTCCATGGGATCTACTTTCAACAGAACGTCGATGCTAGATATAACTGGACACAGGGTGTGTTGGGAGTCAGTCAGCTACAGAACTAACGGAATCCGTGCCACGAGCAGCCTATCGCTGGTCAAACAGATAACGTCGACCAATGTCCCAGAACTTGGTATGTAAACTCTCCCCCCATGTGGATAACACATAGAACGACGTTACAATCAATTATTTCGAACAAAAGTCAATAAAATGATTTTAAGCTCTACAACGTTTTTATATGAACATCTAGCTAAACAATAAATAGGTGACTTACATATATACACAAGTATAATGTAAGCTTGCGTGAGAATGGTGTTCATGTAACAAAAGAGGCACAGATCCGTTTAAAAACGCAGTAAAACAATGGATTGTACTCGGCATAAGTACCGAAGTGTTGATAAAGAATGTACCACAACACCAGCTCTGTCAAGTTCAGACAAAAGCCAACGTACCATGGTTTCCAACTATTCCCCTCACCGAGGCTTAAATACACCGAGATAGATATAAACATATTTGCATAACCACTCCATTACGCGTCTTGTTCAAAACATATTGTGGCAAACATTCTAGACTCCACAATGTCTACCACCCAGAGGCTTCATTCGTAGATTTGGCCGTAGTACTGTAAGACATGTAGCAGTCCCAATCTGAGAAAAGCCAGGTAGATGGCATTGAGTCTACGTGGCGCTATATCCGCTTGGCAACGCTGCAATCCTCTCTGCTCAGCAACTGCCCAAATGTTGCCGATTTGAAACCTTCGCCATAGAAGCATTAGATGACTAAACCGGTGAAGTTTCAGATGTTAAAGAGTCGCCCCTTTAAATGTTTCTCAAATTTTCTTAGAAAATTGCCTTTTTTTTTTTTTTAAACGTTCACGCCTTAATACTTGGTCTACGGTAGCATGCGCGCAAGATGCGGGCGAGTTGAACATGTAATGCATTCGTTAACGTAAGCCCTGCGACAAGTAATGTAAATAAAAGTGCAAAGTCATACTTCGCAGGGTGTTTTGACCTGTTTTCGGACCACTGTACGGTACAGGAGATTCGAGGAGTTTCCCTCCCTCCAGGAATACATAAATATATTCACACAGGGCGGTAGTAGTGCTACTTTTTCTAAATTTTAACCCAAAATAGACATGGTATACAGGCCATGATTATCATGGAAGGTAGTTAACCACTGGTAGGGTTGTGCAAGAATCGGGGAGTCATCAAAGCAATTTTGACTCGGAAAAAAAGGTTGATTATGAGGTTGTACAATCGGTAGTACCATGATATTCCGTAACTGCAGCACGTCAGCTAAACTTGCTCGCCGTTTATCATCACGATCAGTGATATCACAGCTGCCTTGGTGGCTCACTCCAGCTGGTGCATCCAGAGCTTCCGTTGAGGATTTTCATGGGAAAAACGAAGCGGTGGTATCACCCCTAGCCACCCTATTTTTATTCACCTTCTTCAAAATAAAATAGTTTTTAATATATAAGAAAACAGCTGACGAAACCTAAATTATCTATTTAGTTTACCCACGTCCTGGATGGCAATAATCTACTTATATAATTGCCTTATTCTGTCTGTGTGAAGTTCACGGATAGATTTTGGTCAGAATGGATAAAATAAAAAAGTGTCAAGGGATGGGAATCGAACCCACGACCTTCCGCTTACCATGACCACTAGGCTACCCTGGACATATTTTTCCGTTCATAAAGTTAAGAATAAAAGAATAGATATTTTAATATAAGAATAAAATATGATATTCATTAAATAGGTATTTAATTTTTAGTATCTCATTTATATTTATTCGAATTTTATATTTGAACGATAGGCTCATTATTTCTTTTGATGTTTATATATCGTATATATCGTTTTGCACAATTATTTAATCTTTTTTATATAAAGTACAATACTTTAATGAAAATATGTTTCTTATACAATCAAATTATAATTGTAACGAATAGTATTTTAATTAAAACATTTTAAAAACACACAGTTTGGAACGGGACGTTTCACAAGAGTGACATCCATGGCGCCAATTTATAATTGTAACGAATAGTATTTGAATTAAAACGTTTTTAAAATATATACGCACTCGGGTAAAACCCGGGCGTTGCCCGGGCCATTCGTCTAGTACTATATAAGTGATTAAGCCCATATACAGTATTACATTGTATTAATACAAAGTTTAATCATGAGGTGAAAACAATAATTTTGGACTAAAATCCTTAGTTGCATATGTTTTATGCAAATTAATGCTAAACACCCTCCTGCTTTTATTGTAGCCATTCTCTTAACCAGCAGCACCAGTAATAATAATAAAGGGGGAAGAACGGACACAAAAACGGTTTCACATTTGGGTCAAGGGAAATACCAACTCGAATTAAATGGCAGGCGAGAGAGAAACGAAATTACATTTTGAAAAAAAAAAAAATTGCATTGGGCCACACTGGAAGTAGTAAAGGTTAGGAGTTGTAGGTCTTCTTTGTGGTAGAATAATTTACGGTGAAACACGCTCGTAGGAAATTATTAGAAACCTGAATAAAACGGATTTAAAAATATTTGACATGAGGTAATTTTACATCTTTCAAATAACGCATCGTTTTTTTAACCCAACAACTGCTTATTTCGTTCTATCGCCAAACGATACATTTGTTCTTGCATGCCTTTAATTGGGGGGGTAATCCCACGGATTGCATCAAGTGGAGCAACCAGATTTACTGATGTTAAACCAGCTAAATGTTATCTTGTAGACAATTCTGGAAAAATCTTTGGATAAGTGTCTTCTCGGAATCCCGGAAGCTAAAGAATAAATGTAAGATAATAAGAGATAACAGTTGAGAGGAGGTAAACACGCGGGGAAGATGTCCAAATTAGCAGAACGAAAGTTGCCGCGCGGTCAACTAAATAAATCTCCGGGCGTGAAAGTAATCGCCACAATTTGCATACATTACGTGTAGACCCCTCACTAAGCCTTCAATCATTCACAACTCAATTTTCCGTGCTTACATCTAGTTTTATAATACACCAATATCTCTCATTTTTTACATGTCAGACCGAATTAACTTATCCAATAAAGAGAGAGAAAAGATAGGAGAGTAAATTTGGTCCTTCTGAATACACGAAATGTCCATTATACATCACACCAACAAACCCCATATAAAGACTGCATTCTCTCTCCCCACACAACAACAAGCTACACAAAGTTCATGTTTATAGAACATTGGAAACAAAAGCTGAGTGCTGATTGTCTATCATACACCAATTCTCTAAGTCAAATTGAAAAAGTTCTGCAAGTTCACAACAATCACACTTTTTCCGTTTTTTTTTTCTACCACGCTGATTTTTCATATATCAATATGTATATAAGAGGGCGTACCTGGATCTGTTAAAAAAGAAGAATAATAATAATTTTTTCTCAAAATATTTCGAGAGATTGCTCCCTCTTTATCAATTTATTGTACAGTAAACTACAGATCCAGGTACGCCTTTTTATATAAACTTAATTGACTTTTGACTCAAAATATATCAAAATGTTTTTTAAAAAACTGGAGACTTTCATTATCTAAGATTATAGGCAGCAATAAAGTTTAAACAAAACTGTGGGGAATTTCTAGATAGATTTCAGTTTATTTACTGTACACTCTCTCTTAATACTGGTTTCTTGCAGCCTGTGTGCTTGTGTGCTCGGAGATTATAATCTCCAAAAACACGAAGAAAAAGGTTATATAGTTTTTTAAAAAATCGCCAAATTAAGATTGTATCTAAGGGCATAAAGGGAATAAAAGAGAAGAGTAAAAGTTAAGTAAAAGCACAAAGACAAAATATCTAAAAACACACAAAGCTGAAATCAAAGCGGAACACCAAGTTTTATCGTACGGAATAATTCGAGATGACCGGTTTGAATGCAACCAAGGACAAGAAAACTGGGCCGACGTCCCTGACAAAACTTGCCAACTTCCAGCCTAAAAATCCTCCCTATTTTTTAATTACGTACTCAGGTGAAATGCTCAAGTGGAAACAAAAACGATATATATATAAATAAATATATAAAAAGAAACCTACCGTCTTTTTTTTGGGCGGAGACAATTCAGGTATAGAATCTGACGTCATTGTTGACTTCAATTAACTGTTCCGAATTATCGAGTGGAAGGGCTAGAGTTGGCATTTTCGATGACCAGGCTAAAAAAGTGAATGGTCATGTATTGACTAGTGTAAAATATCTGTGATAAACATTTTTGTTTTTTGTTTTTGACATTGTTTAATTTGACGGTGACAATATGAGGACTGTTATTTCTTGACGCGAGCAAATAGGCTTGCAAGTCTCGTTTGGTGGGCTCCATTTATAGCTCTGACGTGTAGCTGGGAAAGTCGCCAACTTCCAGTTTTCTTTCTATTTTTTAGTTTTCCTCTAAACTCTCCGTTGTGGAATTTTGTAAAAGTAAAAACTTGTGTCATTTTTTTTTAAAACACACGCTCCCCCGCACACACAAAGGAACTGGTTAAAAAAATTACATGAGACAATATGTGTAACCTTATTTCTGAATGTACCATAGAGGTTATACAAAGAGGAAATATATAAATTATATATATTATTGTATAATATAGACCGCGCGTAAGTTGAAAATATTCGTGTTTTTTTTTTTATATATAATGAGAAAATAAAATATAATAATAAACAAAAATATAATTTATATAATCAATCGAAAATAAAAAAATGTATACACACACAAACTATAAATTCAATTTAGAATCAATATATCATTAAACACAGTCCCAACATTGACAAAAATAAAACCAACACACACACACACACACACACAAAATAATTAATCGCCAAACGATATTAAAAGAACTAAACGTAACCGTCCAAAAGAAAAATCCGAGCAGACGATAAAGGGGTCCAGACGAAATGAGTGGAAAAGTACCGGGGGTTAGTAGAGCTAGCTCCAGGGGGCGCCGAGAAAAAAGTCCGCTGCATAAAGAATGAGAGAGGTGGGGGGTGAGCAAAAGCATTCCAAGGGGTAAGAAAAAGTAGGCTTAAGGGCCCGCCGAAAAGAGCCGCCATTAAGGGAGACTAAGCTTACTTACAGAGTTGCTTGCATGGGGCATGGCTTGCTAAAAGACTGTTCATCCAGACGGCTGACGCCAGGCGGTGACGTCACGCCACACCTCCCACCTGATTGGCCGAGGCCGCGCCACACCTACAGCCACGTGGAGTGGGTCCAGCATATGCCGTTTTCCGCGCCGAAGATACTCTCGACAGCTTGACGTTATTTTACCAACTCGGAATTTTCACGCGCAAGTTTGTTTAAGACGTCTTTTTTAAAAATTAGGTTTGTCCGTATTATTAGAGGGCGCCATTTTGTCGCGCCATGTTTAATTATCTCAACGTTAGTTTAGCGACACGTTCAACTTGTCATCTAACGACACTCGACACCTCCCATGCCAACATCAGTGTCGTGGAACATATATAGACTGGAGGCTTTCCTCTTAACACAGCAGCTGTGAGGATGGCAACGCTATACGGCCGTATAATTTATTGGTTTGTATGGTTGAGTGCCATCTAAACCACTCCAGGCAGAGCCATCCTGAGAAAGCTATAGGGCGACTTATTAAATTCTAGATAATATTCCCCGATGTAAGCTAAAATGGTCAATTTTTCTTATCGCGCGTAGCCAAGGTGCAAGTAGGGGATACCGTTCTGGCGGTATGCAAATATAGGAGATTAGAACGTAGAGAGAGATTACAATTTCCTCCTCCCACAGGCTCGAGAATGTTGTTCATATTCCGTGTCGAATTTGTCCGAGCTCCACTACGGCGGTATAGAGCGTCGATGGCGGAGATGTACCTGACACCGCTGCAACCTGATCACCTCGACAGGTGTCTCGCCACTACTGGCTCTACACCCCGCGTTGTTACTTCCCCGCCTCAGCAGTATTCGTCGGGTTTGTTTGACACCCTAAACGAATGATCGAGCTTGGAGCATCCCGGGATCCTCCCGGAGTGTGTCCCCGGACAAGGACAGGATGTCCGATAGAGCGCTCCACTTTCGACCCCATCCTCTCCAGATTACGTTCTGAGAACTGACCTAAATATAGCACAGTGATAACCCTAACATAGCTTCACCGAGTGGAAAATAACCACTCGGACAAGAGCAAAGTTGTCACGATACAACTGATAAACTACTTACAACGACTCGTATTTCGATTACACTGAGCTTTCAAACCAAAAGGCTTCATGGCCCTGATACGATAAAGCCAAACCAAAAAAAAAAAAAAAACCCTACGTATACACATTTCGGGGCTGTTAGGCCTCGTCACTGTCAAAGAGGTTGTCACAACCCGTAGAAATCAAAGTATAAAGATGATGATGTAAATAAGCCTACGCAGATATATGCAAATCAAGGGTGATGGCTCTGACATGTGGGAGATTGTTCGCTACACAACGGAGCCCTTTTATCAACGTTCTGTATGAAGTAGCAAACAAATTTACATCGACTACTTTACATATGTGGTCTTCAGCGATTTGATGAAACTCGTTACTTTGCCAGGTTCATTATATTCAACTCAAGGGTTTCAGCACTATATGGCCGAGAGCACCACTGCTGATATTGGTTTGTTTTCCTAGGCTACACCGCCACTATAACATCGCCCGTTCGTTATTTTAGACAGAAACATTCAACATTTCCCGAA